CACAGCGAGAGAGGGAACACAAGCAGGGGGAGTGGGAGAGGGAGAAGCAGGCTCCCCGCAGAGCAAGAAGCCTGATGCAGGACTAAATCCCAGGACCCTGGGATCATGACCTGAGCCGAAGGCAGTCACTTAACCGACTGAGCCACCCAGGCGCCCAATATGTAAACTTCTGTGCCTGGGTTCTTTCACTTAGTATAATGTTCTCAAGGTTTATCCACATCATAGCATCTATCAGATCTTCATTTTTAAAAAAATATATTTGTTTAAAGATTTACTTATTTATTTTAGAGGGGGGAGGGGCAGAGGGAAAGTGGGGGAGAGAGAGAGAAGTAGACTCCCTGCTGATCGGGGAGTCCGTTGTGGGGCTCAGTCTCACAACCCTGAGATCATGACCTGAGCTGAAATCGAGTCAGATGCTTCACCAACTGAGTCACCCAGGTGCCCCCTTTTTAACCATTTTTAAGTAATTTTAAGTTAAGTATTTTTAAGTTCAGTGGGTTTTCAAAACTATCTTCCATGACTCTATGGAAAATTTGGAGCATATGGAATGCAGTTATAATGGGTAGCTTTCAAGCAAGTGGTCAGTCAATAAGTGGTATCATTTCTGTGGCTGAGGGATCCACTGTCCCGGACAACCTTTTGGTGCCAAGGGGGACTGGATTTCACCCCGACATCAAGCCTGGGTGACTGGGGAGATGACAGACCCTCTGCTGGGGGAGCGGGGCTGGTTTTCAGGAGAGCGAGGAAATAGGTTTTAGACAAGGTGAGTGAAGATGAGCCACTTTGAAAAAGTGAAATCCAAGGGCAGGGAAACCGTTCTGTATGGTACTATAATGGTGGATACGTGTCACGGTACGTGTGTGCAAACCCATAGAGTGCACACCACCAAGAGTGACCGCTGGTGTAAACTATGGGCTTCGGGGGATGACGATGTGTTTGTGCGGGTTCATTGATTGTAACAAATGTGCCATGCTGCTGGGGATGTTGGAAATGGGGGAGGATGTGGGATGTGGGTATGAATATATATGAGGTATGTGGGAAATCGCTGCACATTCTTCTCAATGTTGCTATCAATCTAAAACTGCTCTAGAAAGAGTCTGTTCTTTTAAAAGTGGTATCGGTCGTGTTAGGGAGGCAGTTTTTAGGGGTGGTCTTATTTTTCATCTTTAGGGAGTCCATCTTCTTTGGCAATAAGTACACATGCGTGCGCACGCACGCACGCACCCACGCGCGCACACACGTGCGCACACGCACACACACGCGCGCACGCACGCACACGCACACACGCACACATATGCATGCATACGCCCATGGTGCTTTTGGGACATCCAAGTGTTTTATTCATGGTGGGCAAAGTCTTTTTTTTGTTTGTTTGCTTTGCAATCCTAACCTATTTTTACTGGATAGCTGTATGAATCTTTTACCCAAACTTCCAGGGCCTTTTGGGCAAAATGAGAAACTAGTGAGAACTTTCTGAACATTTATCAGCGAGCGGTAGGTCCTGGTTGCTTTAACTATTTACCCCTTGGAGATATTTGGCATCCACCACCTAGAAATAGAACCTTCTGCTCAAGGGAAGGATCTTTCTGCCTACCTTCCACATGGGGCCAAGTATCATGCTGGGCCCCAGAACTGCTTTGTGTGTGGGGTACTGGTGAGGTCCTGGGGTACCCCAGGAGAGGTCACTGACTCACGGGTGCTTTCTGCTTCAGCTCCAAGATTTCCAGGTGACATCTATCCTGGGGTCCAAGGTGGCAGTTCTGAAGGACTCGGAGAACTTGAGGTAAGACACTAGGCCTTGCTCCTCATGGAACCAGACATGCGAGTCCCGTACCCTCCCCCCACAGCTGCCAGGTGCTGGATGCACCAAGTTAGATTGGAAGAATGACCCCCCCCCCAACCCCGCCTTAGGTTTTGACCTTGTAGGTACCCAGACCAGATCACTGATGAGGACTGATGTAGGATCCTTGAGCGACTCTCAGTAGCCTCGGGTGGCCTTCCCTTACCTGGTGGACGGAACTCACCTCCTATTTCCCTGCCCATCACTCCCAGCATGTCTAGATTTTATGTTTGCCAAGCACTCTCCGGGCATTGTCCTTGAGTGCATTCTGGAAGACACTGGGTGTATTCCGTTAAAGCCTACCCCTCTCTTCCCTGTCTCTGCTGAGATGGGGGTTTTCTTAGAGACCCATGGCCTTTCCCGTCCCAAGCTAAGCCTCCCTTTTGTGACCTGGCCAAGCCTGGAATTCTCTCTCCGGCTTGTTTCCCAGGACTCCCTGACAGTGGCCTCCGTGGCCTCAAAGCTCAGTCCACCCGCCAGACTGAAGACAAGCCCATCTCTGCAGATTCCTCTTCCTTTTTTATTGCAAATTCATTTGTTTAAAAAAAATAAAGCCTTTGTGCTGGGGTGCAGGGATGGGGGATGCTGCCGAGGGGCAGATGGATCCCCCTGAAAGGCTTAGGGTGGTCTCCTCCACGGGAGCAGTGCGGGCTATTGTCCTTGGGCTCCTCATCAGAAATGCTAAGTCAGAGGGCTGGGGGTTGTCAGAGCCTTGAGGCCAGACTGACATTTGCTATTCTGGAAGGGGCGGGCACCATTAGCATTTCTCTAGGGCCAGGCCTGAGACCCAGGGGGTCTCCAGTTGGAGCTGGAGAAGGGACAGTGACCTCCCGGGGAGGTACAAGTAGGGACACTTCTGTCCCTCAAAATTCTGCCCTGCTGGCTCACTGCTCAAGTTTGGCTCTGTTCTGTCCCCACACACAACTGTGGGGACTTCACCGCCCATCACCTCCCCCCTCTCATCCCCTCACCTGGCAGATGCAGGACACAGGCTCCTTTCGGCCAGGTGAGGGGTGGCCGGATGAGCATTGGGCCGAATTCTGGTCCCAGCTCCTCCCTAACTTGCTGTATGATCCCCCCGAGTAGCTCCCCCTCTCTGGGCCTCTTTTCCTCATCTGCACAGTGATGGATTCTCAAGTCCTGGGGTTGGGGGGCAGTTTGAGACCCATGACACTGGAGCCCACCTGCCTGGGTTCGAATCCCAGCTGCTGTCCCGAACAAGTCACATTCTGGTCCTGAGCCTCCATTTCCTCCTCTGTAATGTGGGTGTGTGGGTGTGGGTGTGTGTGTGTGTGGGGGGGGAATGCTAGGTACCTCCCCGGTGGGCTGGGAAAATGAGAATCTTTGGAGTTCAGAAAGGTCTTGGAAGTGCAGTTTTCTATTATCTGAGGCTGGACACACACAGGTACTTTTGGGGCAAGTGTTAATAAGTCCGGGGGCAGCTTTGAGCAAAGAGTTGGCTGCCCCTTGTGTTTGATTCAGAAGTTGCTGGGGAACCCAGCTGAAGAGGGAAGCAAGGCTATTTGGGAAGATGCGGGGGGTTGGGGGGGCTTCCTTGGCGGGCCGACCTAGAGCAGGAGGAGCAGGGATACCATGGCCCCCACAGTGAAGAGGTGGCCTGGTGCCTTGGAGGGCCTCTGCCTGACTCCCGCCCGCCTGTCCCCAGCGCTGCCCTGGGCCGCCACCCGCTGCGCTTCATCCTGCAGGCAGGGTGCGTGGCCCACCTGTGTCCCCGCCGCGCAGAGCCTCGCTGGGCGCTGAACGTGAAGCGCGCGGTGCTGAGCCTCCTGCAGGGGCGCCCGGACGCCCGCGGCCCCCAGACCCTCGAAGAGGTGAGGCCGGGGGGGAGCCTGGAGGGGGTGGGGGCAGGGGGCTGACAGGGGGCTGACAGGGGGCTGACATGGGGCTGATGGGGTCCCGCCCACCCAGGTGGACGTCCTGGGCAGGTGTCCCACCACGTACCAGCCACATGGTGCGGGGCTGCGCAAGACCAAGGACCTGGCCCGCTGCTCCCTGCGCAGAGTGCGCTCCTCCCTGCGCTCCCAGGCCCTGCCCTGGGAGGAGGTAAGTGCCCCCAGGTCCTCCCGTCCGCTCCCCTAGTCCCGTCTTCCTTCCCCTCCTCCCTCCTCAACTGCTCCCTGTCCCGTCTACACCATCAGTCCCTTTCTCTCTGCTTCCCTCCAGACTCCTCTGCTCCCACCCCTCCTCCATCTCTCCTCCCCCTTCGTCCTCCCTTCTCCCTTCCCCACAGCTCCTCTCTGCTGCCTGGCCCCCCACTTCCTCTCCTCCCCTCCTGTCCACAGCTCCCTGCAGAGAACGTGTTTTGTAAATAGCGCCTTTCTGGGGAAGGATAAGAGGTGATCCTCGGTGCCCGTAACTACTATTAGACAAAGTCTTGATATCTGGCATCCCATGCAGCTACCTCTGCTGTTTCTCATTTTCCAACTGAGGTTTTATGACCTGTTCCTGGGACTTTCTTGCTTCCCTTGTGCTCGCCCTGCCCCCGTCATCCTTTGCTTGGGCTGTGGGTACTACAACCCAGGTTGGGGGGAGGGTACTGAGGTCCCGTGTTGAAGCCCCCAGTGCTTCCCACCTCACTCCCTCCAGCCCTCCAGGGGCCCCATCAGCTAGGTTCCTTCACAGCCTGGGCCTCCCCTGAGCCCCTGCCTCTCCCCGCCCCTGTGGTCCAGCAGGCTGGCCTGGCCTCCCACCTGACCTGCTTCCAGAGTTTCCAGGCTGGCATGCTGAGTGTGGCCTCTTGCACGGAGCTGGACACCGTGCGGCCCCTCTCTGAGAAGGCAAGTGGGGTGCAGATGCAGACGCTTTCCTCGCTCACCCTGCTGCGTGAGATGTCCCTGGATCCGGCCGTCACAGGTGACCAAGCGTGGATATGAGGACCCTCAGAGGAGCCTTGAGACCTCCTTTGGTGGGGGGCTTAAGCAGGCCTAGGCTCTATCCCTCTGTCCCTGGCTGTCTTGAACCGTTTCTGAAAATGGCTATCATCAGGAGAGTCAGTCTCTTTCTCTAGAAGTTTCTCTAGAAGTTTCTGCTGGCTCAGCTGGCTCAGGCTTGGTCTTGACCTTCTCCCAGGGTGTTTTCAGTGGAGATAGAATCTTGTGGTTCCCTGCTTTTGTGAGAGAATTCTACCTTCCATCTGATGACCTGACCATTTTGGGGGGCAAGCTGACTCAGCTTTCCTGGTTTTCTGGAAAGTCTCTGCCAACACATGAAATTCCCTGGAGCTTGACTCTCTCCTCCAATTTTGCATGGAAAGAAAGAAGCAAGGCATGCATCTGAGGGAAAAAGATAATTTTTCATGATTGAAAACTGTTTCTCTGCATAATAAAAATGCTTCTTACTGCTAACACTTGGGAAGGATTTACTTGGGCCAGGAGCTGTGCTGAGTGTTTTATGTGGATTATTTAATTTGGTTTTTATTATGAGCCCATTAGGAAGGTACTGTTATTAGTTACATTTTCAAATAAGGAACTGTGCCTCCAAGGGATAAGAGGACTTGTCTGAAGTCACATGGCTAGTGAGAGGCAGAGCCAAGACTCGAACCCCCAGCTCTGTTCTGTAGCCCTGGCCGGGAGCCCTGTGCTTCTGAGCCCAGGCTCACTGCTCCACCTTCGGGAGAACCTGGCAGGTGGGACCAGAGCCCTGCAGCTTCCCAGCATCCTCTCTGGCTCTATGGAACACTGGCTAAGATCCCAGCCTGACCTGCCTCCTGAGCTCTCCCTCAGGCACCTTGCTAGCCGTGACGGGGCATCTAGTTGTGTCTAGTCGGATCTTCACTAAGATACAAGTGGTTTTGTTTTTTTTTAAAGATTTTTTTTTATTTATTTCTTAAAGCTTTTATTTATTTATTTGACAGAGAGACAGAGAGGGAACACAAGCAGGGGGAGTGGGAGAGGGAGAAGCAGGCTCCCCACTGAGCAAGGACCCCGATGCGGGGCTCAATCCCAGGACCCCGGGATCATGACCTGAGCCAAAGGCAGATGCTTAACTGACCGAGCCACCCAGGCGCCCCTAAAGATTTATTTATTTTGAGAAAGAGACAGAAAGCGTGTGAGTAGGGGGGAGGGGAAGAGGGAGAGAGAGGGAATCTCAAGCAGATTCCATGCTGAGCACAGAGCCCCACGTGAGGCTCGATCTCATCACCCTGAGATCACGACCTGAGCCCAAACCAAGAGTTGGACGCTCAACCGACTGAGATACCCAGGCGCCCCATACATGGTTTTATTTTTATTTTTAAATTAAAAAAATTTTAATTTGTGTGCTGTACCGTTAGTCCATTTAAAGTGAACAATTCGATGGCTTCTAGTATAGTCACAGAGTCATACACCTACCATGGCAACCAATTTTGCAACGTTTTCGTGACTCCACAAATTTCACACCCGTCTGTCATCACCCCCTGTCTCCCCGAGCCCCGGACAACCACTGGATTTCCCCAATCTGGACATACCAGGTAGATAGAATCATATAGTATGTAACCTTCTAGGACTAGCTCCTTTCACTTAGTATGTTTCAAGGTTTGTCCACATTGTAGCTGGTGTCCGACCTTTTTATTTCTGATTAATCTTTGATTGAGTGGATGGACTTTTCATGTTTTCTCTCTCAATCCGAAGAGGGCTTTGGAGGTAGCCTATTTGACTATCGCTCACAGATGGGTATAAAGGTTGTTTCTTTCCCATCTTTTGCTGGTAGCAACAATGCTGCCATGATTTTCCTTGTGCATGTCCCCACCGCCACACCCCCACACCCCTTGTCGGACACATACAGAAGGAAGCATTGGTAGGGTTGGGGGCGGCTCTCATGGGACCTCCTTCTTATTCTGGCATTCCCCCATATGGTCCTCCCCATCTAGTGCTTCCCATATCAGATCCGGACGATGGAGATGTAACTCCAAGCAGTCTGTTGTACGAATGGGAGGAAACACAGTCTCAGGCTACGGTGGTCACAGTGGCCGCATCACTGAGGAAACTGTGCCTGGCTCAGACCACGAGCTTTGAGGTAAGTGCTTTCTCCAGCCCTAAGCCAGAATCTGGCCTGGGTCCCTGAGACACCCTGTTCTTTTTTGCTAAATCCTTTATGGTCTATCCTCCTAGATGTTCAGGATCAGGGCTGCTACGTACAGTTGCGCAGGTTGTGCACTGCACAGCTGTGCCTGGTTACAAAAGCAAAAGAAGGGGAAGAGATCTAGCTGGTGTGTGCCAAAACTTGTGCCCCAATACAGGTAGGAGATGAGCAAAGAGGAGGCCTTTCTTTCATCTCCTGTTGGGCTCTCAGGCTGGCATTCTGAATGCAGTAGGGATGTGGCTGAGTAACCACTTCAGACTAGGGGTCTCAAGCAGAAGACACTGGAGTTGAGACCTGGGGTGGTCTCTTTGAAATCTAGGGGGAAGGAGCTCTGAAAAGAGCTTGGAAAGGAGCAAAGTCTGGAGTCTGAGCCCTGAGGATAGGTCTGGGGAGCAGGCCGCCCAGCCTTGCTGGAGTTGGACAGTGAGGACCAGTGGGGCCGGCTCCCGCAGGGTCTCATGGTCAGGATGATTTCTAGAATGTTCCAGGCACATAGCGATCTTTGTCCCACCATCCCTACCATTCCCAGCTCTGGGTGCCACCACCAGTGACAGTTTGGACGACTTCCACCGCAGCCACGATTTCTGCCCCATCTCAGAGTTGCTGCTGACTTAGCGTGGAAGCCAGGGCTTCTCCTGAAAGGTGTGAGAGATAGGGGGATTTTTCTGACTCAGGCCCCAGTGCCTGTGTGCTGAGAAGAACAGAAAGGGGTGTTTTTCCTCTGGTCCCGTAACAGCCTGGGAGGGCTCACACTATCCTTGTTTGTTTATTCCGGATAATACCCGTTTCATTGGCTGCTTACCCAGGACCCAGGATTTGGGAAACCGAAATCGGTCATTCAGGGGATGAGCAGAACTGGGGCCCTCGGCATGGTGCCGAGTGTTCCAGGCACACCCTCGCCCTCCAAAGCTCAGCTTTCCTGGCAGCACTTGGGCGTGGGGGCTTCTCAGATACACAGGTGCCCAGACCCCGAGCCTCGATATTCTGACCTGGCAGGTGTGGGCTGGGAACTGGCATCTGGGTGCACAGCTCTGGGTGTCTCTGTTTCTCTGGCGGAGTAGGGTACAGGACGATGTTGGGAGGCCAGTGACCAGCCAGCCATAGCCCTCAGAGCCAGGAGCACCCTTAGGCTGGGATTCTTTGCACCAAAGGCCCTCCTGGGTGCCCTGCCTTGGTGAGGTGAAGCATTTCTTCGGGAGTTTGTGGAGACTGGGCCAGAAGCATCCAGGCAGGGGTGGGTTGGCCTTCATCTCCAGGGGTGGGGCTGAGATGAGCAGACCCCTGTGTCCTGCTCGGCTTCAGGAGTGCCTGGAGTGCTTGAGTGGGGACACCCACATACCTGTGAACCAAATATGCTGGGCCCCGAGGGCTTGGGGGACAGGTAGAGCAGGGAAAGAGGGGGAGGGGCAAGGAGGCTCTGGCATGGGCTGCAAGTTGAAATGATGGATGGCCTGGGAGGCCTTTCTGGGGAGGTGACCTTGAGCAGGGGTCTGAAGGACCTGCAGAGTGGGCCGTGTGGATGTAGGGTGAGAGTTGGGGGCGGGGGCAGAGCACATACACTCCAGGGCGGGAGCTGCTGCTGGGGGAGTTCAAGGCTAAGTGGCAGGGGGGCCGGTGTGGCTGGAGCCTGGTGGGGAGACGCAAGAGGGGGCCCTTGGCAGAGCACACAGATCACTTTTTCTCGGGGTAGTGGGGAGACTTGGAGGGTATTGTGCAGAGGAGGGAGGTCACAATCTGATGTGTGTTTTAACGCTCACACACTGACCAGGCCTGGAGAACAGACTGAGGGCCAGGTGGGATGCTGGGAGCCCAGCTAAGAGGCTATTGCAGTAACGCGGGGAGACATGACATGAAGGACGGTGGGCTGGGGGGCAGGTGGGAGGTGGGGGAGAGAAGGATCAGATTCAGAAAAACACTGAGAAAATACATATTTTTCATAATATATTGAATATGTAGGGAGACTATATTGATTGTATTTATTGACTACATATTAAATATATAGTAAAATATATAGAATACACAGACTATATTATATATGTATATACTGAGTGCGTATTGCACGCGCACACAGACACTGTACATTTTGTGTACGTATGGATATATAGCGGAGACACCTGCAGCTGGGTCTTCACTGTTTCGGGAAGTGGGAGCCGGGCTCCCAGCTTGCTGATCCATGGGCCTCACCTGGGGCTTTTGCGGGAGTCAGAGAGCAGCCCAAAGGAAAGGGGCCATCCGCCTCACAAGGTGGTCCTCCGGCCAGTAAGTGACCGGGCCAGCTGTCAAGCCAGGCAGCCTGACCCCACAGCAGGGTTCCTACCTTGACACGACTTGCCCCTTGGGCCAGATCATTCTTTATTGTGGGGGTCGTCCTGTGCATTGTAGGATGTTAGCAGCACCCCTTCCCCCGTTGTGACCACCGAAAGCATCTCTAGGTGGTGCCCGGTATCCCCCTTTGAGAACAGTCGCTTTATTTGCTGAACCTCCTGACACACTGGGAAGCCCCAGGACAGGCCCGCTTCCTCTCGTCTGGCCCCCAGAGCACGCTCTGACCCCCTGCCGCAGGCCTGCCCCTTCCCTCCCGGAGATTGGCAGCACTGGCCCCAGAGGGCACAGGACGGCTGCTCTGTATTTATAGCTTGAGAAAGGAAGTGAATTGTTCCCACTGGGGACGTCCCCCGGGCTGGGGGTGAGTTGCTGAGGACCTTGTTCCTGAAAATGGCTTTTCAGGGATGCCTCAGTGCACACCAAGCAGCTCCTCGGCCCCCCGGAGGGCTGAGGGCACCCCGCTTGGTTGCCCAGGGGACCGACCTCCCCGGCTGCAGCGTGGAATGCCCTTGCCCCTCCCCATTATTGGTGGGCAGGAGACAAGATTCGTTTTTCGGTCTGGAAACAAAACCAGGAGTCTGTTCAGTCGAGAGCAAATTCCCCAGCCTGACCCTCCGCAGAGGGGCCCAGGAGCTTCGATGTGGGGGGCAGCGGGCTGCGTAGCCACGAGCATCAGTGGGCTATGCGGGGGGAGGCCCGAAGAGAAGCAGGGAGGATGCCAGGGAGAGGGCACAGCTCACGGTTACTGTCCGGTATTCTAGGAATAAGGAGCCCAAGTCTCGGGTCTTTATTAAACACCGATTGTATACAGCCAAGGGTTTGAGAGACTGTGTAGACCGTGGTGTATCAGAGCTGATGGTGGGAATCCAGCAGGCTGGTTGCTAAATGCAGCCATTATTATCGATTGGGTTAGAAATAAGTCCCGTTAGAAACAAAGGTGGTGAGTACTCAAAACCGTCGCCTGCCCGTGACCTCCACTCTCAAGGTCGTTTGCACCTGCTGTCGTGGAAATCGGATGTGCTCTGGTGCGTCCGTGCGGCTCTTCCCGAGTCTGCATGCCGTGCCAGCACACGGACAGCTGGAGAGGGGCCACGGCGGGAGTCGTGGCACCCTGGAAATCAGCAGGTGCTACAGATCAGGGCTTTCCTTTTTCTTGTGTTTTTTTGGGTGTTTTCTTTTTGTTTGTTTTGTCATTCCCCCCAAACACCCCCACGCCCCGCCAGCCCAGAAGACACTGGTTAAGGCTGTGGGTTTAGGAGCTAAGTGGCTTGGGTTCGGTTCTTGACTCAGGGCTGAGACTACTAACACCTGACTTAGGTGCTCAGAGAGTCGCGAATCTTCTCTGTTAAGTGGGGACAGTGACAGCTGCTCCCCATAGGGCGTTGTGAAGGTCAGATGGGATGATGCATGCACATGGCCTAGAATAGTGCCTGGCACACACTCTGTACAAAGTGACTGGGGTTGGAGGTGGTGGTAGTATTGTGTGTCCTTGTTCTTAGTGGATAGGCTTCTCCCTTCTCTCCCTGCTGGAGGGGAAACCGGAATGAGCTGCCGAGATCCTTCCTGCCATGCCTGGCTCTGGAAAGCTAGTCCTGATGCCAACACTTGGGGCTGGAGGCCTGCCTGGAGGAGGAGGAGCACACCCGGGTGGACACCTGCCCCCCCAGGTGGGAAGATGCCTGCCCAGCCAGGCACAGCGGTGTGCATCCTTGCTGGAGGACATAAGAGCATGCGTGTCTAAGCCCAGAGAATCTTGGGTTCTGCTGGGGAAAGCTGGAAGGAAACAGATCTGACCCATCCAGAAGGCAGGCAGCAGGCCTGGAATCAAGAGGCCCCAGGGTAGCTGGCCCAAGCTGGGGGGACAGAGAGTCTTTAAGGCCGACAGCAGTCAGGGCCAGCCGTGATGGTGGCAGTCACCCCCCAACAAGGGCCTGGCTTGGGTGTTCTGCACAAGGGAGCAAAGGCAGAGCTTAGGGTAGCCACCGGCTCTGCTAAGAGAAGACATGTTATGGGAATGCTGCGTGGACCCTGGGGTGGAGGCAGGCATGCTGGCAGAGAGGTGAGTGGGCTGAGCTGGCCAGTGAGGGGCCTGGTTTGCAGCCTGTGTCTTGCTGAGCCAAGCTGTGTGCATGGGAACTGGGTCCCCACCACTCACAGCACGGGAGGCCCGAGGCTAGGCACGCTGCTCCCAGCCCCAGCAGACCCCCTGGCTGGCCGGATGTGTGTGGGGGGCTCATTCCTGGCCTTGGCCAAGCCTGGGTAAAGCGTGGGGGCTGCCAGCAGAGAGCGAGGACCAAGCCATGTATCTCCTGAAACCTAGGGAGTGCGTGCTCTGAATACAGTTCTTTATTTCCTTGGGTGTATTTGGACCCTCAGCAGCTGTGCTGGTCAGGCCTGCAGACAAGGGACAGAACCTGCAAAACCGTTCTTAGCCATCTCTGCTCGTAATTCTGAAAAAACGTTCTTGTATTTCTTTTTCTTGTTTATTATATTTTTTTCACTTAAAATATTAGAAAAGATTGCCACCTCACTATATGAAATCTGCTAAGACTCCTTAGAACAACTAGATCGTGGTCATGGTGAACATTTACTGAGCTTTTATCAGAGCGTAAAGCCCACAAATGCAGATAGCATGTCTGTTTTTCTCCCCACCGTGTCCCTAGTGCAGGGCCGACACATAATAGGTACCTAATAAATGCTTGTTAAAGAATAAAAATGGCCCAGCCCATGTTCCAGGGATTCCCTGGAGAGGAGCCCAGACATGTGGCCGCATTGCATTGGGTCTCAGGACACCTTAGGTGGAAGATGCTAATGCATTTCCCACTTTCTTTGCAGTCCTGCCTGAAGGCAGGGGAATGGCTGAGATGAGCCTGGGGCTCCCCTCCTCCCCCGGGTTGCCCGGTCTCTCATGCTGCCCCCCCGCCCCCCGATTCCCAGGCCGCAGAACTGTTCCTGACGCTGGTGTCCGAGCTCCAGGGCCTCTCCCCAGATGAGCTGATGGCACTCTGGCGACAGTCTTCCTTTAAATGCCGGGACAACTGGTAAGGACCTTTCTGCGGGGGAGGGGGGGCAGGAGCTGGCTGGCGGTCCTGGGGGTGGGGGTGGGGGCTGGCTGGTCTTGACACTGTCCCATGTCCCCACTGAGGGATGGATGGTGATATCTCCTTTCCTCTCATCCCTGGGATATTGACTTGTCCTTCAGTCTGGGGATGGCTGCCAAGAAGGTGATTAAGCGGGGAGCTTGGAGGTTCCCACGGGCCGAGCCCTCTTGGGACTAAAGCTGAAGGGCCTGGCAGAATAAATACAGGCTTTGTTCTCTCCCCAGACTGGGACCCTCTTGCTGAGAGCTGGAATTAGCATTCCAATGTGCCTTGGGTACCCCTCTGCCCGTGGGTGGGGGTGCCGGCCAGGCTGGGATCCCACCACCTGGATCCTACTGATGTGGGGCCAGCAAGGGGGTGTATAGAGACCCCGGGTGCCAAGGGGGGTCTCCGAGGAGCTCTGTGAACTCGGGGCTGTGCAGGGGGGGGAAGCGTGGGGCTCCTTCCCAAAGTCCAGCCGCTCTCCAGGCCCCTGAGATCCAGACGTCTGGGACTTTCTCAAAGGCTTTCGAAAAGATCTCTAAAGGGTTAGCAGCTCCAAAATATGAAAAGGAAGAAAAACCCCTGCAAAATGAGCATTACCAAATGTCTAACTGAATGACTGCAAAACCAAATGGCTAATGCATAGTCACCTTCTGAAGCCTTCTCTCTGTATTCTCTCATTTATTTTTATTTTTTTAAAGATTATTTATTTGAGAGAGAGAGTGTTTTGGGGGGAGGGGGAAGTGCAGAAGGAGAGAGAGAGAGAGAATCTTAGGCAGGCTTCATGCTGAGCACGGAGCCCAATGCGGGGCTTGATCTCATGACCCTGAGAGCATGACCTGAGCTGAAATCAAGAGTCGGACACCCCTGTATTCCCTCATTTAACCCCCACAAGGACCCCCGTGGGGTAGGTGGCTTTATTGTATTTCCTACTTTACATTTGCGGAAGAAATCCAAGGCACAGAGGAGTTCGGAAACTGGCCCAAAATCACACAGCAGAGTTGGGATTTGGACCCAGGTGGTCTGGGCTTCTTCATCCAGTACCTATGGGCTTAAATAGAAGTGATGTTTGACTGAGGCACCATTTTTAATTATGTCTGGTGTAGGCAAGGGCCTGGGGTCTTCGGGAGGAACTGCCTGTTTCCACGGTGACATATACCCTGTTTGCTGTTCTGGATTTTCCTAGAAGCCCGTGTCTCCCGTGCCCATGTAGATGTTGGGAGTCAGGGAGGCGGGAGACCCATCCCAAATCTAGGAGTTTCTGACAAGATGGATCCTCTTGAAATTCTCTTGCTTCTCCTGCCGCCTCCACTTCTGGCCAGGTGTGGTTTCCCAGGGCCCACATCTATAGGGAAAAGAGAAGTTGCAAGGGTGGGAGGTGGGAAGAACAGGTAGGTTGTTACTCAGATGAAGTGACGTCTGTGTTCCCAAGGACTCCTGGGCATGTCGGGGCAGGCTCATTCATCAGCATTCCCATTTTCCAGATGAGCAAACTGAGGCCAGAGACCGTTTACAGCAGAGAGTGGGCATGTGGGTCGGGGTGGGGTGTCAGGTCCCCTGCCGTCGCGGGTGTCACTCATCAGGGTGGTGGGGGACCCTGTCCACCCACAGCTGTGCACCCTGCTGGCTCACGGTGCCTCCCATTTCTGCTGTGCCCTGGGGACCCTCCTCCCATTCGGTCACGTCCCTACTCAGAGCCACCATTGCATACAAGTTAAAAATCTTTTCTGAGCTTCTGAACCTTTCTGCAATGGCAGGGGTGCTTGCTCCTTGGTGATCGTGGCAGCTTTTTGCAAGTGGGCTGGACTCGTGTTGCACGAAGCCGCTGTTTCCTGGTGGGGGGCAGACCTGCCAGGGTTTGGACTGGGCTGCTCTTGTCCCTGTGGACCCTAAAAGCCAAGGCCCCAGGCCCGCCTTGGCCCCTTCCAAGGTGTGTGATCCTGGACACGTGCCCATCACATTTCCTGGGGCCTCAAAGTGTTCCCCGCATGACTGGAGTCGGCCTCGACGTGAGGCCTGGAAGGCGCGCCGCAGGTGTGGGCCACCTCTGTGACATCCCTCGGTGTCTCTCGATCTCAGGCAGCCGCTGGTGGACGCCCTGCCCTCCTGTGGCACCGAGCCCTGTGTGGGCCTCATGAAGGACCTCATCGTGTCCGGGGAGGTGGAGGCGGACGAGATGGAGGCGTGGCTCTGGTCGCTGGCCCTTGTCCCACAGCCCACGGATGCCATGGTCCACACGCTGCTGGTGAGCCCCTGTTCCCCCACCCGGCCCCCCCTCATCCTTCCCCCAGTTGGCTGCTGATTGGACACAGGGGGTGACCTTCTGTCGGGGCCTTGTACCAACCCCTCCTGGTACCCGTGGGGACAGACCAGAGAGATCTTGGGTTCGAGTCTCAACAGTGTTCCCCCCCCCCCCCAGCTGTGTGATTCTGAGCAAGTGACCTAACCTCTCTGAGCCTGTTTTCTGATCTGGAAGACGGGGATAGAACAAGTACCTCCCTCGTGGGCTGGTGGTAAGATACAGGATGATGCGCGTAAATCGATTCTCCCAGAGTCTGAGCACTTTAAATGAGAGCGGCTCTTGTTATTGTAGACAAATATGTCTACTGAGTCTTGAAACCAAGAAGCATGTGTGAAGGTGGGCCGAGGGTTTGTAACAACCCGGGGGTCTTAGTTAACCCTGACGAAGCCTCTGGGAGGTAGGTGCTTTGATGGCGCCCATATGGCCGGAAAGTGAGGTCCCAGGAGGCTGGCAGCTTGCCTGAGGTGGGGCAGCTGGTCCCCTCTTTCTCCACAGGGTGTGTGTCCTCACTTGTCCTGGGGGCACCATCACTTGTCACCCCTCACCCTGCTGGGCCAGGCTGGTAGTGGGCAAGGATTTAAAGGACACCAGCAGGGAGCAGGGGTGATCCAGATTCGGATCCCAGCTCTATCCCTTACCATGATGATCTCCAGCCAGGCACTAAACTTTTCTGTGCCTCAGTTTCCCCATCATGGGGTGGGGGCAATGCGTAGGGAGACTCTGTAGATGAAGGAGTTGTGATGTGTGCCAAATGTCATGCATGCAGCAGGTGTCAATGCTGTGACCCCTTGTCAGGGATACGCGGTGAGCAGAGCCGGCAGCGTCCCTCGGCTCACAGAGCCCAGGATCTTTGTCACCTGCCTCACCTGTCCTCCAGACCAGAACTGGCACCCCTCTGGACGGGTTTGCTCATTGTCTTGTCCGGTCCACAAGGATGCACATGTGCTGGGCGCGTGCAGGGCCTGGGCTGGGGGTGCGCCCTTACTTTTTGCAGCCTGACGGGTGGGGAGAGGAAGGGATGAGGGGCCAGGGAAAAGAGGGAGGGGCGAAGAGAGGGGTGGAGGAGGGAGATGGGAGGCAGGCAAGAGAGTATTTTAATATGCTTTTTATTGTGGAGTGATTTTAGGCGTTCAGAAGAGTTGCAAAACTCATACAGAGTTCCTGTGTGTCCGTGGCTCAGGGTCCCCAATGTTAACATACAACGTCACCGGGGTGTATTTGTCACATCTGAGAAACTGACATTAGTATGTTGTTATTGACCAAACCCCAGCTGTTCAGATCCCGCCACTTTCCCCACAATGTCCTGTCTGTTGCACAGTCCCAACCAGGGTACCCCATTGCAGGGGGGGGGGGCGTGTTTTAAATTACACATTAAACTACACAATAAGGAGACTGTGCTAAAGTGTTCCGTTTGATGGTTTTACACCCACGCAACCACTCCTAGAAGAAGATTGGAGGACATTTCCTGCTTCCCCCCACTTTTCATGCCCCTCTCCATCCGTGACCCCAAAGGTCGCGGGGATGCTGACCTTTTTTGGCCATCACTCAGTTTTGCCTGCTCTTGACCTTCACACTGTGAACTCACGTGCCCCTGGAGTCCGGCTTCTTTCTCACGTTTTCTCTGTGATACGCGTCAATGCTGTGCGTGCGCGTGCGTGTGCGGACTCTGTTCCATTTCTGGGCGGCGTTCTACCTCTTTGCCATTTCTTCTCTGAATGGTGTCTCTTGAAGAACTGGAGTTAGAAGGTTCTGGTTTGGGAAATGCAGCCTAGCCGTCTGTCTGAGCTAGCGCTTCACCTCCCCAGCGTGCTGTCACTTCCTGTTTTTGTTTTGTTCTCTACCAGCTTTGTGGTTTGGCCTTTTGGGGAAGGTTGGTTTGGGGCAGCATGAGTGAGCGTTCAAGTCCAGTGGAAAAGGGAAATCGGTTGTAGGAGGGTCCCAGACTTGGGGATAATTTTATCTTTTCATCTTTAAACATCAAAAAAGCGAGTGAGAACATGTTAAGCAGACTTGTTTTCACTGAAGCATAACCAAAGCTTTCCTAAGTGAGAGATTTTTGCTTTAGGAGCTGGTGTTCTGATTCCTGTGAAGTAAAGGAAGGCTGGCAGTTCGGGGCAGCCCCCGGGGCAGCCATCCACCCAACAGGGTCATTACTGTCCGGGCTGCTCCGGGAGCCCTGGCCTGAGCCTGTGAGTCCTGGTCCTGCGGGTCCCGGGGAGGTGAGCCCAGGGGCTCCAGCCGCCCAGCCTTCCCCACAGCGCTCCACCGTGCCCCTGGCTCCATCCGGGTCCCGGGAGGGCCCGAGCCCACCCCGCTTACCGTCCACAGAACTGGAGGAGGCGGGGGCCTCCAGCAGGCGGGAGCCCTCCTCCCACGTGCTTGAGTGGCTTCTCTGCACTTTTCATAACCGCCACGCTCCCTCCCCTGTATGCAGAAAACCGGGAGGGTTTGTTTTCATTTGCCCAATCTAGAATAACGGTGGATGTGCTTTTCCAAGCCACACATCCCCTTCCTTTCGTGAAGAAAACACACACACAGAGACTCACATGCCCTGAGGACACTCACCTGAGGCCATACGGAGCCACACACACCCGCACACTGAGACGTATGGAGACATACACCCAAGACGTACGCACACATACCTGAACGTGTAGATGTCCACACCCAGACATATCATATATGTACACCCCCCCCAGAATACTCACAGGGACAAGTGGGGACATGCACCCCAGGATACATTGGGTGCACACATACACACATTAGGACACACATGTATACGCATGTATACACACAAGGCACACACTGATGTTGGCACGTGCACACACACACACTGGGACACACTCAAGCATGTGCATCCACGTGCACTGGGACACGCGCACCAGGATATACGTGTGTGCTGGGATGCACGTGCACACCCATCTGGGAATACACACGCTCACACATACCACCCAGATGAGTTCACACGCGCGAAAGTAATAGAGACTTAATTCCCAATTCTGTTCCTGCACCGCATCCCTGCCCTTGGGCTTCAGCATGCTGGCTGTGTGCGGGCACCTGCCCCGTGGCCCCAGCGCCCTGCTCGGTTTTTGCCGCCCCGCTGCAGTGAGTCAGCGGAGAGCACGTGGTGGGAGCGTTTACACCGCGGAAACTGGCAAACGCTACACGTGAGGACTCGCGTTTTCCCCTGATTGGGTGGGTGGGTGGGATGCTTGCTAACCACTTACCCTAACACCTCTGGCTATTCCACCGCGTTCTGCTCAGACGACCTCACCACCCCCACCTCGCTCTTCCAAACTGGTGACCGAGCCCAGGAGTTCTCAGCCTCAGCACTGTTGACGGTGGGAGTGGGCACTTCTCCATCGTGGGGGCTGTCCTGTGTAGTAGAGGGCCTTCGGCAGCAGCCCTAGTCTTTGCCCGCTGGAGGACTTAAAAGCATGCATGTCTAAGCCCAGAGAATCTTGGGTGTTGCTGGGGGAAGGCAGGGTGGGGGGCCCAGGCCTCTGGCTTTTTAGGAATCTGTGTGCAGCCAGGGTGGGGGCCCATCTGTACGTGGCGAGGCCTGTGAAGGACCACTCACCAGCCTTCTCGGCTCGGGTGGGGGCTGGTTTCTGTCCCCAGCCACTCCTGCAGACCTCGGGGACTAGCCCCAGCGCCTTCCTTGGTATCTCGGCCCTGGCGCACAACCTCTGTGCCTCCCTGGATGGGCCCTGTGGACACCTGCCTGGCGTCGGCTCCCTCGTGAGGATCCTGGGAGAGGCCTTGGGTGCCAACTGCACCTTCCAGGAGCCGTCGGACGCTGAGCAGGTGAGGACAAGCGGCATCCCGGGCGCAGCCCCTTGGTGGGGCATGACCCACGCAGGGGAGCCCTAGGCTGCGCGGGTGGGTGGGGCGAGCACCCCCACCAGGCCTCAAGGCCCCACCACAATCTCGTTTCAGCTCCAGCTCGTGCTGAAGGCGATTGGCAACGCAGGCCTGGCGGTCACAGCTCTGACCCCCACACTGAGCACCTGTGCATCCCAGAGGAGCTGCCCCCTTGAGGTCCGGCTGGGGGCCATCCAGGCCTTCCGGAGGGTCCCCTGCTCTGCAGACGTGAGCTCCTGAGTGTCATCGGCTGGGGTGATGATGGGGCGGCAGAGGGTCTTGAACCACCGTTTGTTAATTCCCCTCTGTTTGGTCATTCATTCATCACATGTTTACTGAGCACCTGCTACGTGCTGGGCCCTAGTGTGAATACGTGTCCAGGGCTCTGTCCTCATGGAGCCTGTGCCTGGTGGGAGGCAGATGCTTGTCCAATAAACACACAAACAAGTGTATGATTATAGACCATACAGAAGGCATCCTGTGCTGCAAACCCTCTTGTTCAGGGGGCGGCAAGCTCTGGACCACGGGCCCCATCCTCGCTTGCTGCCGGCTCATCTGTGTGTTGTCTCAGGCTGCTGTCTTGCTATCGCTGCAGAGTTGAGCAGTGGCAGGAGAGACCGTGTGGCCCACAAAGCCAGAAAAATTTACCATCTGTCCCTTCGCCAGAAAGTTTGCTGACCCTTGGACCAGTAGCTCCCCTCTCGTTGTGAGTCAAAACCAAAGTCTTTACAGCGACCGAGCAGGGCCTATGTGCTCTGACCACGGGCCCGCTTAGCACCCCACGGCTTCATCTCCTACTTCCCTCACCCCCCACTGCTCTCCAGCCACACCGACCTGCCTGTTGTTCCTCAAACACTCCAGGCCCACTTCTGCCACAGGCCCTTTGGATGTGCTGTTCCCCCTTCCTGGGATGCTCTTCCCCTGGACATCCCCAGGCTTCGCTTCTTCACTTCCTATAGGTCTTTGTTTAAAACCCACTTTCACCGTGGGGTCCTCTTTGGCTATTTCACCTGAAATTGCATCCCCACTTAATTTTTCCCTCTTTAGTATGTAGCACCTCATGTGTTCTATATTTCACATCTTATCCTTGTTTGCTGTCAGTCTTCCTGCACTAGAACGTAAGCTTCAGGTGGCTCCCGTCACCTAGCAAGCACCTAGCTCCTTGCCAGGCACATAGTAGGTGCTCAGTAAATAGTTCTGTAAGAGTGGATGTGGGTGGGTGGCTGTGCTATAAAGGAAACCAGGGCACAGGGTGAGGGAGGTGGCTTGCTTCGGGAGGGGGCCCGGGTAAGCCAAGCACTTTAGGAAATATCTCCTGTGTGTCAGGCACAGAGCTGTTTTTATAAATTTTTATTGGAATGCAGCCATACCCATCTATTTACCTTTGGGACCTGTGGAAATTGGCGAGCCTCTGGACTGGGGCTGGGGGAGGGTGGGCTTAGCGGTGGTGGCCCTACCACCTCCCACAACCCGCCCGCAGGGGAGCGTGTCGGGGAGGCCTCCTGCAGTGGAAACTTGGTGACTTTGTGAGAGCTGGCACCAGGCAGCAGGGCCACCTGCTGAGCCAGAGCAGCTCGGGGGATGTCGTGCTCCTGGGTGGAGGGGGGTGGTGGTAGATGGGCCCCAGGTGATGGCTTTCGCTCTACCCAAGCCAGCGATCCGCGCTCTCCCGTCTGTACCAAAACCCAGAGGAGGATGCTGAGATCCGCATCAATGCCTACCTGGCCCTGATGAGATGCCCTGGTGAGGAGGTGTTTGCGCAGGTGCGGCGGACCCAGGCAGCCGAGCGGTCCACCCAGGGTGAGCAGTGGCAGCTGGGGGAAGGGGTGCTGGGGCTGGCCCAGAGTCTCCTGGTGGGTGCAGGGTTTTGGGAGCATCCTCCTCCTCCGCCCCTCAGGTGCTCTCCTAACTGCTTCCTGTTCTCCTTCTCTTGCCACACCACCTGGCCAAGTGGCCTTGTGTGCCCCCACCTCACATGTATGGCAGTTGGACAACCTTGGACAAGTTGCTTGTCCTCTCTGGTCCTCCGTTTCCTCATCTCTAAAAAGGGATGGGAGTCACTGGCTTCCCTTGTAGCTCTGGACAGTTCATGACCTAGTACCTGGAAGGGAGACCCAAGACTGAGGAGGGATGGTATCTGCGAGTCACAGATCCCTTCTGGGGTCAGAGAGGTTCCTTTAAACAGGGGCCTCTGGCCATAGTTCCTAAACCTAAAAGTGAAACTTCAAAATATAAGTTCAGCTGATTTTCAAAAATCTTTTCCATGATGGACAGTGAGTTGAGTGCCTAGAGCCCAACAGCCTGGGTTCAAATCCCAGTTCAGTCACTTCCTACCTGTGTGCCTTTGGACAAGTTACAAACCTTTCTGAGCCTCTGTTTCTACATCTGTGAAGTGGGGGATGATAATACTACCTCCCTCATAAAGGGAGCATAAACTGAGTCAAAACACAAAGACTTTTAGAACATTTTAAGTGCTGTATGTGTGGCCATTTAAAGTTTCAAAGCAGACAGGAAAGTAGAAATGGAAAATTAAAGCCTACCTTCTTCTTCCCTTGGCCTTCAAATCCCATTTCCTGAAGGCATTCACTGTGAACAGTTCTCTTCTATATCCCAACAGAACTTGGAGTGTATGGTCGAGTATGTCCATGTATCTCCTAAACAGTATCAACTCAGGATCATGTTATACTTGCTGTTGTGCTCCTTGCTTTTTGCCTTTGTTGTTTCTGGGGGCTCTTTCCACATCAGGGCTTGTGGACTCCTATCACTGCTTCATGATATCCTACTAGGAGCTTGCACCATAATCCATTTTACCAGTCCCCACTGATGGGCATTTTGGTCATTTCTGGGTTTTTGCCAAGAGAAACAACCAGCAAAATGAACCTCTCTGCACATCCATCTTTGGGACCTTGTGCTCATCTAGCCATAGAATAATTTCCCAGAGGACAGATAGCCAAGTTACAGGGTGTACACATTTAAAAGTCTGTGATACTGCTGAATTACCTTCTAAAGAAATGGTACTGCTGGAAGATGCAACTGTTTGTTGGCGGTTTCAGGGATGGGATGAGATATGTGTGGGATGGGGGGAGAGGCCACTGAACCAAGCCCCATCACCAGGGGATCAGCCAAAGGGCTCAGCCTCGATGAAGGCCCTGGGGTACCAAGCCTGTGTGTTACCCAATGGGAACAAAAGCCAGACTCCACTCTGTTCCTTGGTGGATTGTTCTAGAAGCTCCCTGGTGGGCATTCTGAGAGCCTGGGACAACCAAGAGGATTCAGGGTTCCCAGTTAGACTCTAATATCCCTTGTTGGACTCTCCCATTACTGCTCTCATTTGATTTTTACTCCTCCAGAGAGCCTGAGAGGGTCCCCATCACGAATTGCATGTCATCCCTTTCCCAACCCTGAAAGATACTCAGTTCTTTGGCTTCCTCTTGACTTGTCTGCACAAACAGCCCTGGGAGATGGGCTGTTATTTCATTTTACAAATGAGGAAACTAAGCCTCAGGGAGGGAGAGTAACGAGCCTGAGGTCACGTAGCTTATGAGTGGTGGAACTGAGATTCAGACTGGGGTCTGACTGTCAAGCCAGAGCTTTTCCCACAATGCCTCCTTTTCCCTTCAGGAAGGCATGTCAGAATGCTGTGCACAGGCCAGATTTCCAAGTTCCATTAAGGAACTGCTGTTTGCCACTATTTCTGGAAAGAAAACATGGATAACTAAGCTCCTGGGAAGCCCCTGGCATGTGGAAATAGCAGGACTCAGGATAGGGGATCGGGGGCTCTTTTCTCTGGGCTGTGCCAGCTCCAGGTTCATCCTTCCCCTCCCTCCTCTTCCTTCCCCTCCCTGCTGACTATGGCGGGACTCCAGTGGGCTCCTTTGTGTGGAGTCACCTGATGCAGCTGCTGGAGACCAGCGACCCCCTGAAGCAAGCTCTCCAGGAGGCCCTCCCTGAGGACATCCTGAGTCGGGAGTTCCAGCCGGAGGCCTGGAAACACTCGTCCTATTCTGATGTCACGTTCCGCTCAGGTATGGCCATCCTGGGCAGCCGCTTTCCTGCTCTGGGGCCACAAAGCCCTGGGGACCTGGGAACTCTAACCCTTGAGGACACGTGGATCAAAGACACTCTTTCCCAAATGTCATCTCTTTATATGTAAATTGGCATTGATTCTGTTGCCTGCCTATGAATTGGAGAACTTTTTCCCCTGTGTTAGAGGGAGATTAGCACCAAGCTGAGGCTGTCACCTCCTTATCACAATGAAACAGAGCCTTGAGAAGCACCCTGTTCTAGCTTAGTCACCTAAACTACCTTGGCAGCTCCGGAGGTCTGGGGGTGGAGAGGGGTTGCTCTGGCTGCCCCCTCTCTGTGTGTCAGCAGGTGTGGGTATATTTGTGACCCTTCTGGCCTTCCCTATGCCCTTGGTGAGGCTTACGGCTGAGGCACGTGTCCTGTTGGAGAGCACACACCACATCTTGCGCTGTCTCAGACTATGGTGCCTCAGTGGCCAGACCCTGCTCTGTGAGGGGTGGGGAGTGTACTGATCCTCTCTCTCTCCTCCTAGTGTCTGGCAGCCTGGGAGCCAACCTGGAGGGGACCCTTCTCTTTTCTCCAGCCTCCTTTCTCCCCCGTTCTGCCATGACTAACCTGACCATCCACGCCCTAGGTCATGCCTTCAACCTCCTGGAGGTAAGGGGAGGGGGCTGCTGTAGCTCTTGGGGCCTCTTCTAGACTCAGGGCCAGAAATGATCCCATCCATCCATCTTTCCATGTATCGCCTCTTGTCTGTATTGATCCACTCCTCCATCTTGTTCCCCCAGCTCCTTCCATCCATCTACCAACACATCCATCTCTTTTATCTCATTCATCTCTGTACCTTCCCATTCATCTCTCCATCTGCCCTCTCACTTATCCATTCACCTATTCTCTCAGTCAGCCAGCCACCCACCCAGCCATACAGCTATATATCCCTCTACCTTCATGCGTCATCCATCCATCCCTCTCACCCATCCATTTATGTAGCCTCCCACCCATTTCCCCATCAGCCTCTCACCCCTACATCTATTCATCTGTTCTCCTAGTCATCCACACACACTGCTATGTACCCACCCACTCACACATCTATCCGCATATCCACCCCTATATACATCTATACATCTGTCCATTCTTCCTTCCTTCCTTCCTTCCTTCCTTCCTTCCATCATCCATCCATCCATCCATCCATCCATCCATCCATCCATCCACCCATCTCCTCTATCTATTCATTAATGTGCCATTATACCCCTCTCTCCATCTACCCTCTGCCACATCCATCCATCTATCCATCCATCCATCCATC